TTTGGGGCTACATTTGTGCCAGTGGCAAATTTGACCTCTGTTCGACTTCTTGTTTCCTTAGCAGTTGATCATTCTTGGCCTTTTCATCAACTTGACGTCAAAAATGCTATTCTACACGGGAAATTACTTGAGACTATCTATATGGATCCTCCACCCGGTTTTCGAGCTGAGGGGGAGTATGCCTGGAAAGTGTCGTCTTCGCAAATCTATGTATGGTTTGAAATAGTCTCCTCAAGCTTGGTTTAGTCGGTTCAACAAGGTTATCTTGTCTATGGGTTTCATTTAATGTCACTCTGATCATACCTCCTTCATTAGGCGACAAGCGATTCGATGGTGCATCATTTTGCTTGTCAATGTTGATGATATTATTCTTATTGGTGATGATGCTACATGAATTGCTCAAGTTAAAAAGGATCGTAGCCTTGTTTTTAACCTTAGTAGGATTCTCGTCTAGAATTGCGATTCGTAGCAAGATTTGTGATAGAATCGCGTCTCCGTCGAGATAGAATCGCGGATCTAACTAGATGGGAGCGATGGCGACACAGAAGGGGGGAGAGAGAGAGAGACCAGGCTGCGAAGAAGCAGCAGCAGCTGCTGCTAGGGTTATGCTGCGAAGAAGAAGCATACCAGGCTGCGAAGAAGCATGTGAACTAAGAAGCAGCAACTGCTAGGGTTGGGAATTATAAACATAAGAGTTGGGCTTGGGATTTTTTTTTAGACTCATACAAACATTTGTATGGGCTTGTAAGCAATAAACATAAGAGTTGGGCTTGGGAATTTTTATTGGGCTTTGGGATTTTTTTTGGACCCACACAAACATTTGTTTGGGCGTGTGAGCTGATTTATTTATTGTTTGGGTTACTAGATGATTTGTTTGCATCATAAATAGGAGAGTTGCGCTTGGGATTGTTTTTCTTCTCCTCTCCCTCTTCTTTTATTTTATTTTTGTAAGAAAATAAATAAAACAAATAATTTTTAACAAAAACATTTTAAAATAAATAGATAAAAAAAATAATATAAATATTTTAGAATAAATAAACCAAACCAAACCAAACCAAGCCTTAAGTCCCATGAAATGGGGTCGGTTACATGAATCCTTCTTTCCCACGCGGCCCTATCAAAGGCCATTTCATTAGTCAAATTAAGTAGATTCATATCTCTATTTAAAACGCTAGTCAACGTTAATCTAGGCCTACCCCGTTCCCTAACACTTCCACCTACCGGTACAGCATCGCATCTCTTCACTACTGCCTCTATTGGTCTCCGTTGAATATGACCAAATCATTTTAAACGATTCTCTCTCAACTTATCTTCTATTGGTGCTACTTCTACCCATTCCTGAATACACTTATTCCTAATCCTGTCCTGTCTTGTCTAGTCTTATCACACATCCACTTTAGCATTCTCATCTCAGTCACACTCATCTTATCTGCATGTTGTTTCTTGGTTGCCCAACACTCTGTCCCATACAACATAGCTGGTCTAATAGCCGTTTTATAAAACTTACCTTTTAGTCTAGTGGATATTCGTTTATCGCACAATATCCCAGACGCACTTCTCCACTTACACCATCCCGCCTTAATCCTATGGGCCACATCTGCATCAATCTCTCCCGCTGTTGTGATAATCGACCCTAAATAACGAAAATGTTCACTCTTAGGCAATTCTTGGTTCTCAATCTTCACTGCTCCTCTGCTTTCATTTTTACTGTTACTGAATTTACACTCCATGTATTTTGTTTTAGTTCTGCTTATCCGGAATCCTTTAAATTCAAGAGTTTTTCTCCAAATCTCTAACTTTGTGTTAACTCCTTCTCTAGTCTCATCCACTAGCACAATATTTTAGAATAAATATCTTATAATAAATGAAAAAAATCTAATAAAAGTATATAATTATAATATTTTAACATATGATTTTTTATAGTACTTTTTTTAAAAAAAAATTATAACATATATTTTCTTTATCATTAGAGGAAAAAAAAAAAAATTTTACAATATATTTTTATATATTATTTTATTTAATATATATATACAAACGCTCCCTACCAACGCTTCTTGGAATGCCTACGATTCCCTGTTTCCGCTCCCGCTTCGTGCAACTAAGTTTTTAACATCAAAGATCTAGGTCCTCTCAAGTACTTTCTTGGTATTGAGATTGCTCGTTCTCGCCAAGGGATTTCCTTGTCTCAAAGGAAGTATACCTTGGGTCTTCTTCAAGATACCGGTTTGATGGGTTATAAACGTACCTCTGCTCCTATGGATCCTAATTTGAAGCTTACTACTGAAATTGGTGAGATATTGAGTGATCTGGGTATGTATCAGTGTTTAGTGGGTCGATTGATTTATCTGATCAACACTAGACCAAACTTGACATTTGCTGTAAGTGTTGTGAGTCAGTTTATGCATGCACCTCGTACAGCTCATCTTGATGCAGTTTATCATATCCCGCGTGAAAAATATAAAAAATCCCAAGATATTGATTTGTGATTATGTTTCAATTTTAAATAACAAATGACAATCCTAATCAAACAATCAAAGAATCAAAGACAAATCGGCACAGCGATTTGAAGTGGAAAAACCACAATTGGAGTGCCTCCAATTGTGATAAAAAAAACCACGGGCCAAAGCAACAAAACAATCCACTAAGAAGATAAAAAGGAATTACACAAGTGTACTCTCAATTACCCAGTGAATCTATGCCCGAATTGAACCGACCCAAATGTGTCTCTTCCATTACTGTCTTCACCTCGGAATTGTCTTGTCTAACGTTGAATCCACAACGCTGATGTCAAATCCACGATGATGAGCCACTCTGGGATTCACCAAAGCTTTAGGCTCAAGTTTCCCGGAATCCACCAAAGAACAATTCTCTCTTTTGTAAACGAAACAATAATACCAACCCTTGATGTTCGACAATCTGGAGTTCGTTGATCAAACGATCACCTTCTATACACTAAGGAAATTCATATAAAATAGTCTTCAATATAAAACACCTTGTTTTTTAACACTTTGATTTTTCTTTCTCTTAAACTCTGGACCGCTCAAACCCCAAAAACAACGAACAACGCACTTTATAGAAAACAAGATCGCACAGACCACTCGAGTGCACATTTCACCGCTCGAGCGGTATCCATGTACTTAGTCAGCAAAATGGCAAACATGAAAGGATTAAAATCACAAACTCCTCTGTCTAGGCACAATTCGGGTTGGATTCGCATCTAAATACTCATAGCCTCACTGAAATAAAAGATCGAATAAAATTACAATTGAAAGAAGTTTTGTCAAACGGCATTGCCAATAACAAAAACTTAACATTGCGATATTTGAAGACTACTCCTAGTTTAGGGCTATTCTTCTCTGCAGGCTTGCAGCCTGGGTTGTCTTGTTTCACTTATGTCGATTATGCTGGCTCCAAAATTGACCGACGCTCTACCTTTGGATTGTGTACCTTCTATGGCAATCATCTTATATCATGGAAGAGTAAGAAACATGTAGTTGTTTCTAGATCTTCCCCTGAGGTCGAATACCGTGCTATGGCACGGGGTACTTGTGAGATATTGTGGGTCAGATCTGTTCTTGCAGAATTGGGCTTTAATTGGGCCTTAAGGAGAATACCTCATCTCTGTTGTTCTGTGACAATAAGTCTGCAATTATGTTAGCTTTAGATTTAGTTCTCCATGAGAGGACAAAACATATAGAAGTGGATATTCATTTCAGTGTTATTGAAGGCGCGCCTAGGTGTGCCCCTAGGCCCAATTCTCATCTAGGCCCAAGGTTTGGACCTTGTAGTTTTCCAGGCTTAGGTGACTTCGATAAGGTGCATCTAGTCGTGCGCCTGGGCCCAAGGTTTGTGCCTTGTAGTGTTTCAGGCTAGGCGACTTCAATAGCACTTGACTGGCCTAAGGCTTGTGTCTTGAGGGCTTTTTTTATTGTTGCTTTAATTGGTTTTGTTTAAAATTTGACGATTGATTTAATATGGTGTAACTATAGAAGATCCCTGCTCTTATTACAGATGCCAATACATTAGGCATTCAATCCCAAATCAATGATAAAAGAAAAATTAGTCTAATTCCTAATCTCCAAAAAACATTGAATGTTTAACATTTCATTGTGTTTATGTTGAATCCTAAATTGTTTACTTATATTAAATTATATATTTTTTTCGGTACAAGGTGCTCCTCAATTCGGTGAAGCCTGCGCCTCGCCTTGCACATTGAGCCTAGGCCCCAAGAGACCTTGGCGCCTTGGTGCGCCTATTGCCTTTAATAACACTAATTCATTTTATTAGGGAAAATGTTAGGATGAATGTTATAAGTCCATCCTTTGTCTCTTCATTAGAGCAGCTGGCTGATATGTTCACCAAATCGGTTGGTCCAACCTTATTACAGTCTTTCATCGTCAAGCTGGGATTAGTGAATATCTTTGAACCAGCTTGAGGGGGGAGTGTTGGAATATGGGAAGGGAATCCCATATATTGTGTGAATCTCATATATTATATGATTACAACAGGATTTTAGGCATATTTTCTTATATTTGTTTTTATTATTATTCTACCTTCCTAAATTGTAACCTCCTCAATTCAGTATATATATGTATATATATATACAAGGCTAATCATACATTGTGATTGTGATTAAGCCATTCAATTGTATTCTTCTTCTATGTGATCATACTAGTTTACTGATTTATAGGATTACATTACAAGTGCTACTTTCTCAACATTGTAATTGATGTTTCCTATGCCAATCTTTGGCCACTATGTTATGATGAATTATAGAGGTTTAACACCGTGTAAGTAGGTCAAGAGGCTTTGTTTCTTTGACTTTACTGGTTACTGTAACAAACTTGGTGGATATGACTGATGATGATATGGTGAAAAGAATATCATGACCTTACAGGAATGTTTTAATTGTTCTCGAAACTTTTTTTTTTAATTGGGTAGTTAGTACTATTTTAACTCATATTTGACCAAGAGTGACACTTTTGTGATGAATACAACAGAGAAAGTTGGCGTTTGTGGGAAGTTGATGTCTACCAATCCGGATGTAAGAGACATTGATTCTGATCACAGGGATCCTCAGTTGTGCAGCCTCTATGCCCCTGATATCTATAGCAATTTACGTGCTGTGGAGGTTTGTGTTGTAGATATTTTTCTTTGGTTTGTGTAAAAGTTCTTTAAGCATATATTGATATTGTTTTGATGTTTAATAGTAATGATTTCATGAACTTGAAGGGTTGGCCATTCTCCCGAAAGAATAGAAATGGAGGAAAAAATATGACTAAGAAAAAGAATAACTACCTTGAACCATACGTGAGCAATTTACTAGCAAGCATGCAGAATATGCCTTGTAGAGTTCAGCTTGGTCTCATCCCCATTCCAACTCAATCTCTTGAAATTACGGTCTAGGAGATGACTTAGAATTTAGCTTCCAAGCCAACTCCCTGGAAATTTCTTTTGGTCCATAAAATATTTGGGAATGCCTTTTATTTTATTTATTTTTATCATCCTATCGGATAGATAGTAAGAAGGTAATATAATAGACTTCCTATTGGATCTATAGCTACAATTGACTGTAAGGGTTTACCTTTTATAAATGAAACATTGTGTATCAGAAAATGAAGCAAAATAAAGGCACAGGAATTCTGCAGTAGGCAAGATTGAACAAGTGATCCATTGTCTGTGGCAGCTTCCTTCACAAGACGCAAAGTCGCCTTGTTGAAGAGTCAACATAGGCTTTCTTAAGCGTATGTCTAGTTTTATCTAGAATTCTACACAATCAACAAGAGGTAAAGCAAAGCAACAAAAAAAAAAAAATTGAGATTAAGATGGAAAAAGAAAAAGCCACGTGAAGAAGTTGAAAGAAGAATGCAGAAATGTGGCAGCCGATATTAGCAAAGTCCATTAGTTGTATTGTGCCCCTCAACAAGTTCTCTCAAAGTATAAATATCCAAGGAAGAGCTTTGGTGGGGTGTGGTTAAGAGAGCCACCAAAGAGGGTGTGGTAAGAAAGCCATCAACCCAAGTGTGGTCTAGTGTCTAGATTTTTATGAGTGGTCTTCTTATGTAGCTCTCAAGTGAGTGCTTGTGTGTGTAACTAAAATAATGTATATCATATGTGGTAAAGAGATTCTTTTGTTTTGTGAAATGTGCAACAAGTATTGGTCACATCATTGCCTTGTAACAAGTTCTGTGTACTTGTTAAGTATTGATAGTTGTGTGTGAGTGCTTTGTTGATGATATAAAATTAGAGTCTCTTGTATAATATTTTGGGCTCATTCACGTAATAGATTCAGCATGCTTTTAACTCAACCGGTCAACTTTAAAAGTTGTATCAATGAAAGTGAGACACACGGTGGTTTGAAGCTTTTGCTGAAATCAGAAAATTTTCTTAAATAGGAAATAAAAGCCTCAACAGGAAGCAACTCTTGAAAGAAAAACCAGACTGGTGATTCAATTTATTCATTTGACACTTCATCTATAGTCTCCCTTTCTAAAACTGAATGTCTGTTCAGATTTGCACAGCTAATTTTTAGATTTAGTTGCACAAAAAAGAGTAGCTTTTAACTGTATGACCAAAAGGTATGTGCCAATTTAATTTTGTTGTTGGAAGAGATTTATGCCTCTGTAGGTGCATAAAAATTTTCAAAATACCTTTTGTCTACATACTAAATCAATTTTAATACAGACCAACCTTGACTCTAGTTTTCCTGTCAAGTCTGTAACTTCGAGGTGTTTTCATTCCGTTTCTTTGTCTTTCTACCAGATGCTCTACAATGAATCGTGTTCTAATTTTTGTTCTCCAGTTTATTCGAAGGCCATGTTCTAATTTTATGGAAACAGTGCAGCGTGATATCACTCAGAGCATGCGGGGTATTTTAGTTGACTGGCTCGTGGAGGTTAGTGCAGTTTTGACCCTCTTACTAAATTTAGCAGTCTAATTAATACATTTTTTTTTCTGCTAGAAAGTTTACGTAGTATTTGTGAAGCTAATTGGTAATGACTTCTGTGCCTTAGAGATGAATGCGATTAGTATTTTTACTCATAATAATTTGGAGGGGATTCCCTCTATTTGGTGTTTATTCCCTAGAGTTACCTGTCATTTCCTTCTTTCAGCAACCCGTGTGCTTTATTTTTTATTTTTCTGTGAAAACGTGTAGAGGCAATCAGATGCACATGTTCTTTTTTTCTTGTTCTTTTTTCACCAACAACTAACTTCTAACCCCTACGGATGTATAAAATGTGGCAAAAAAAAAAAAAAAACCTTTAAAACCACTATTTATGAGCTTCTAATATTCATAAACCTCAAAATGCTTGATTATTTAATTATTGAGAATGTATTAGCATTTATATAAGTTCTAGTTTTTGTTTTGAAACATTTTCATACGTTTTCAATTTTTTCTTCTTCTCATGTCCCTTGTGCTTTTGAAATGTATCCAAAACGTTTCCGTTTCTAGGGTAACTGAACAATGTACCAAAGCGTTATGAGTTTTTATAGGTAAATTGTGGCTTTCAGAAGAGAAAAATATTTAATTAATTAGTTTAGCCGACCCCATTTGATGGGATTTAAGGCTTGGTTTTGGTTTGATTTAGTTTATCTTGGTTTCAGGTATCTGAGGAATTCAAGTTGGTGCCAGACACACTGTACCTCACTGTGCATCTTATTGACCTGTTTCTCTCTCAAAACTACATCGAAAGGCAAAGACTAAAACTACTTGGCATCACCTGCATGTTAATTGCCTCGTAAGTTTGCTTTAGTGGAGTTTATTTTATGCTTCTTTTCAAACCTTTTAGATTACAATGTTAAGCAGAATGTATGAGTTATGGACAATATTGCAGTCAAGGTTGTTGATCACATCTAAAACAACTGTGAGCTGTGACTGTTTACTTTGTTAACAAGAATAATCAAAATTAATTTTTATTTGACCTGGTTGCAATTGAAATCTTAAAGATCAGGATAATTGTGTTTTATTCTTATGTAGTTAATGGTAAACAGAGATACTGTGCTATGTACATATATGATCTTATGTGTACAAATTTATGGTTCTTGTATGCATTATATTGTTGGAAACTTGGAACATGAATTTAATCTTGATTATAGTGATACTAAAAACTTGGCTATATTGTCTGATTTATTAATGTTTTCTTGATGTGATCTTCAATGTGGTTTTCCACTTTATGGCCTGAAGGAAGTATGAAGAGATTCATGCACCGCGTGTGGAAGAATTCTGCTTTATCACCGACAACACTTGCCCTAGAGGAGAGGTATGTCCCCAGTACTTTTTTTTGGGGCCAATTTGGATACATAAATTCATATAAACAACAAAGATATGTGAAAATGTCTATTATGAAAGTTAGGAATATTTTGCATCCGTGTTACTTGAATGTAATTTTACTTTTAATTATAATATGGTAATACTTCATATTTAATTAGACAGTGTCATATAAAGCTCAGCCCAAACTTAATTGATGCTTGTTTTTGATTAGTTTTATATCTTCTCACAGGATACTGGGAATTTATCCATAATTTGACAATGTTCAGTGCCTTAATTCGCTTTCACACAAAACTTCTGGAGCACCGCATTGTGCTGAAAAAAATTCGCAATGTTCAATGCCTTAATTCTCTTCTTCTATAACAATGGAAAGAAGAAAAAATAATAGAAAAATATAATTAAAAAAATATTTATTGGCTACAAATGAGATTTCAGTTTGGTGCCTGATATTAAGGAATTAAGCTGTTCTTTGGCGTGTATGCATTTGAAATAAGTACTTCTTGAATGTAGTAAGGAGTCCAGAGCGAATGTGATGAGAAGGCCTCAAACAACACCCAACTTGTGAATGCTAAATAAAAATATATAAATACGTACCTATGTTTCAAGTGTACAAACTACATAGTATGTGTCAAAAAACATAACGGCAATGAATAAAAGGATACTTGAACAATGCATTCATTGGCACATGAAATGACAAAATTGCGATTTGATGCCATAATTGAATTCTTCTGTATAGTGTCAAGGTGCTCTGTCCTAGTTGAGGTCATAGATCTAAAATTTTCTAGGGTCCATAATGTCACGTCCTGCTAGATTACCTAGACAAAATTGCCTACCAAGAGAAAGTCTCAAGGAAGGAAGGCTAATGGAATATTTCGAAAGCTCCTAGAAGACTAGAGAAAATGTGGAAATATGGTACATAACTCTATAATGTACATGGAAGGATCTATAATAGTTCTAGAGCATTTAAGTGAGATTGGAGAAATGGAAGCAATAAAAGCTTCTAGAACCTCCTTGAGAAATGGGGGTCGTAAAGGACCTTTGTACGTACTTCTAGAATGAGGTAGATATTTGTATAGATATTTTTAGGGAGAATACTAGAACCCTCTTGTAGGATAAGGAAAGTTTCCATGAGAAGCTTCTCCATAGCTTCTCTCTTGTATGTTCTGGAGTATTCTAGAGAAGGCTAAGATACCTATAGATAAGAGAGGATTTCATTTGCTCCCAAACAATCCAAGAGTTGTACAAATTGTTTTAAGATGAATACAATGGCCTTCTCTCAAACTTTCTTTGTCTTTTTACTTTTCTTTCTTGCAAACTTGTGAGTTAGGCTGACTCAGTATCATCAAGTAAGACTTGTGATTGTCTAAGTGCAACACGGATAGTTTGGAAATAATCAAGGCTGTGACAGCAAGTCTAAAACTTTTTAAGATCCTTGGAATGTGAACTTTTGGTCACTAATTTTTTTTTTTTGAAAATCAACAACAAAATTTATTAAAGAAGAAAGTGTGGAGGACAAGAAGTCCTCATACAGTGAAAAAGTGACTAATCAAAATAAAAACAACCATCAAAAAGTAAGAGAAAACAAAAAAATCCAATCACCAGGGGTTGCAAACAACAGTCCAATCCCTAGAAATCAAGAAAAGTGGAACTCCCTTAAAAGGAGGAGACACAAAAGCCCAAAATGAAGCCACAAACTCAGCCCTATCTGACAAAGAAGAATCTGCAGCAGCCTCCTTTCCATCAAAGATCCGTGAATTTCTCTCTAGCCAAATAATCTAGAAAATAGCACAAACAATACAAGACCACAATTTTGTTCACTGAAGTTCAGACTAGGCCTTCGGATACATAGAGCAGGAACCTTAAAGTTTTGGTTAGGCTAGTGTAACTCAGAAAATTCAGATTCGATTTGCTATGATATAATAGGGGAATTGTATTAGATGCAAGATCCATCAAAATTTTGTATATAGAGGGTTGAATTCAAATTAAACTATCATGCTATTTCTGATTTAAAAAACCACTGATCTGGATGGAATTCCATACACAGCTACTATGCTTATAGTTGGATCATTTTGGCCATCAAGTGTGTTTTAAAGGAGAGAAATTGTGTTTCTTCACCCTCCAAATTTATGCATAAAATGATTCAACGCAATATATAAGTTTCTATGCTTGCATCCATGTATGGGTTACTTGTCTGTTTGTTAAACACTTAGGGGTGTCTACTATTATAATAAATATGTAAGATAAAAAATGCTTAGATGTGGGAGGGAGAGCACTTGCTTTTTGGTTTGTCCCTTGAACAATCTGCTTGAATACAACTGGAAAGCAGACTACTGTATTGAGTGGGTGTATTTTTTTTTTTGGTGGATAACCTAGTTGTATTATTCATATTTATTTCTTTTCCCTAAATAATTCTGGTCGAATATTGGATGGTTCAAATCTCTTATCAAGGTGAACTGGCAGGTACTAACAATGGAGAGTCAAGTCTTGAACTATTTGGGATTTCAACTTGCTGCACCCACTGCAAAATCGTTTTTGAGGTACTTGAGCTCATCTAGTTTCTAGCATCTTCTTGATATGTAGTTTAACTAATGCTATGTTTGATTCATTGGAATGTGCTAGAATTGAATGATCATTCTATCAGATTGTCCATTTTCACGTTTTGGTTCACTAAAAAAGCTGTGAAAAATGCATGTAAATGGGATCATTATTTATCATTATAAAGGAATGATCATTCCCTAAGGAGTCTAAGGAATGACCATTCCATTCCAATCCACTTTCATTTTAGTGAACAAAACACTACGGTAGGCTTTTGATGCATTTTCTTGTGCATATTCTACCGTTTGCAGGAGATTTTTGAGAGCAGCACAAGCAATCTACAAGGTAAGATAGTTTTATGAAATATTAAGAGTTTAAACTTTATACTATAACTTTTGTTAAGTGATATATTAATACTTTGTTTTCACAAATCCTTGAATTTGCAGACCCCTAGTCTTGAATTGGAATTCTTGGCAAATTATCTAGCAGAATTGACATTAGTTGACTATGAGTTCTTGAAGTTCCTTCCTTCCATAATTGCTGCATCGGCTGTATTCCTTGCCAGATGGACATTAGATCAGTCAGGCCACCCATGGGTTTGCATTCCTTTCTTTTGTTTTCTTTGCGTACACTCTGATTCTTGGTACTGGAGGTTTGACTTTGTTTTTGATTTCTTGGCAGAATGCAACACTGGAACACTATACAAGTTACAAGGCGTCAGATCTGAAAACCACGGTTCTTGAATTACAAGGTTTACAATTGAATGCCAATGGTTGCCCTCTTAATGCTATACGTGCGAAGTACAGGCAAGATAAGGTAAGAAATAATGTAGAATGGAGTAGAAGATAATCATGTTCGATTTTATTAGCATTTCATCTTATCTTGCACTCAGCTTGTGTTTGGATGGAGTTATTTGATAGGAAATGATAAGAAATGATGAGAAATAGAACTCATGTTTGGTTTACAAATTATGTAAGAGAAAGGATGAGAAATGGAGAGAGAGATAAATATCTTATTATGCCACTTTTATTTCTTAACAAACATGGTGAGATTTTGGTGAGAAATCATCTGATTGGTTGTATATTTTTTTATAATATCAAGATTACCGTTCAAAATACAAAGGAAGAAAAATAAATCTCACCCATATCCTTATTTCACATGTTTTCTTTCTTATTTTCTTTCTTACTCATCTAAATTTTCTTTTCTTAATTAGATGAGAAACCGCAATAATTTCTTTTCTTTTATCAGCCCATGATCCTGACAGAGTAGCTTGGAAGACTCATTTAAGTAGTTTTGCCATCTATGTCATATCAAATTGAACAATTGACATTGTTTGTTTTGGTGTCTTATACTATATTTCTAACAAGGTTGTTTTTGTGATAGCAGTTCAAATCTGTATCAGCTTTGTCCTCCCCAGAACTTCTCCAAACACTGTTCTAATGGAGTACTAACATATCACAGTCACTTTTACCTTACCAGATGGGAGTTTCCTCCAGATTTTGGCCGCTCGCTCTTCCTGGAGGTTGTAGCTCTTGTCTAATCTTAATCTATTTTTTGTTCCTTTCTCATTTGCTTCTCCATTTATATTCGTTTTCGACTTGGTTTCTTATCTTCCTTTTCAATATCTGTTCATAATTTTATTTTTTTTCAACTTCTGTTAGGGTTTGGTTCTTCCAAACCTGGCTTTTGTAAGTTGAATCCAAGATCTAGGCATGTTTAAAGCCAGTAAATGTTAAAATCTGTCTTTGTTTGCAAACTATAGGTTGTAAGTTAGCAAGAAGATGAATGGCATTAACTGTATTAACTTTTGTTGCTAATGCATCCACTTTAATGTATTGTTTGATCTATTTGTCTACTCTGTTTTTCTTTACTTTAGATACTTTATTTTCACGCTTCATTTGTTCATGGAAAACTTTTTTTTTAGAAAATGTTTTTCGGAGAAAATATTTTTCTAAGTTTAGTGGTGGTGGTAGTGAGACAAAGCTGGAGGTGATAGTGATGTAATGGTGGAGGTAAGAGTGGTGGTGGTAGTGTGGCAACATTGTTAAGAGTTCAGTTCGGCACGTTTTGATCTTTTAAGAGAAAAAAATATTTTCGATCCAAATTAATTTATTTTACGTTATTTTGGAAAACAATTTCTATTGATTTTCGTTTTTCATTGTATTAAACATTAGAAAATGCGAAAAGTATTTTCAAAAAATGTTTTATGTCAAAACAAATGGAGTGAGCGCTTGGTAGAAGTACTCTTTCTTTGTTCTTTGCTATTTGGAGTGCAAAAGAAATAAAAACTCAAGGGAAGTGTTAGGGTACACATTTTTTTAATGTGTTTGTAATTTTGTAACTAGTTATAATAATTTGTATTAACACTAATAGAAATGTCACTAAGTTTTGTTACTGATATGACAAAGACTTTATAACTAGTTCATAGTTAGCTTTGTCGAAAAATTTCTTTGTTATACCGAACTCATGTTTAATAAATTATTTTCAAAACCCAAGCACTGAACCTGTTTGGTAATATAATTTTAATATGAAATTGAATTAAAATCGATAAGTTATGGAATTGAGAACTCGGTGAAAATGAGAAATGTGTAAATAATACATATATAAAAGAGGTTGCTAATAGAAATATCGTATATTAAAATAGCAAGTAGAGGTAGCAAATATGCCTCTTAAGTAATACCACTCACATTTGCTACATTTCTTTTGAGAGTCTTACAATCGTTCTAATGTAAGAATTTGGTGAAAAAACCTATTGGGATATCAAATTTAGATAAAAAGTATGGGACCATTCTACAATTTTAGTGTTTATTTATTTATTTGTTGAAATCGCATATTGAATGTATAACTTTAATTTGAGTTCATGTTTTAAAAAACATAAATTAATAAATTTAGAACATAAATTAAAATTGCTTGAATCCAAGAAATAAGTTTTTAAGCAACATGGGATGAAAGAATTCAACCTCAAGTCGTTTCACACATGAATCTTTCACGTATTTGAAATAAATATGTGAAAGTGAAAAAATTATTAATCCATGTATCCTTGTCACCTAGAGACAAAATTAGGAGAAGAATACTTTTGTGAATTAAATTGTTTCAACATATATATATATATATATATATTATTTGGGAAATGCTCTGAATCGTATGCAATCCTATTACAAAATTACATAGTTTTCACAAATTTACATAGGTGATCCTATAAAAATGTATAAGTTGAACACAAATTTGTATAATCATGTAAATTTTCACTCACAAACTTATGTAATCTCACAAAAATATGTAAGTTGAACACAAATTCGGGTAAATTCGTGAAAACTTATAGTAGAGGTACATATGATGTACATTACACACTGGAGAATTTCACCTAGAGACAAAATTAGGAGAAGAATACTTTTGTGAATTAAATTGTTTCAACATATATATATATATATATATATTATTTGGGAAATGCTCTGAATCGTATGCAATCTTATTACAAAATTACATAGTTTTCACAAATTTACATAGGTGATCTTATAAAAATGTATAAGTTGAACACAAATTTGTATAATCATGTAAATTTTTACAAACTTATGTAATCTCACAAAAATATGTAAGTTGAACACAAATTCGGGTAAATTCGTGAAAACTTAATCTTATAGTAGAGGTACGTATGAGGTACATTACACACTGGAGAATTTTTCATATTATTTTATACGATCGCTCAGTATAAAAAATATCTCATTCTTCTACTATCATTTCACATTCACTTTTTATTTTGCACTAAAATAGCTTCTTCATCCAATTAGAAGTTGCTTCCATAGTGTTCAATTATTTATTTATTTATTTTTGTGTGTGCGTGTGTATATTAGAGTGTGAGTCTACTCGATGGGTGCATTTAAAATATAAATTTTAATAATTAATTTTGAATTTATAACAAATTTTGTATGTCGTTTAAGTGATGAAAGTGTTTTTTAGTAAGTTAAGTAAATGATCTTAGATTCAAGTCTTGCTTTTAACTACTATTTTTTATTTTTTTATTTCTTTTGGATGGAGAAAACCAAGTGACGGGCTCACTTTTAATAATAGTATAGATATAACTTACATATCATACTGTAGAGAAATTCTTTGGTATATACTATATGCATTTTTAGTTACGATAGTTATGTATTTGGTTATGACCTATTGTGTTGTTAGTTATGACATTATTTTGGTTATGATTTAAAAATTGTTTGATTATATCTCATGCAATGCTTAGTTATAACACAATTTTATTTTATTTTTTTATTTTTTTGATTTTTTAAGTTATGACTCCCATAGATTGAGGAGAAAATTGTTGAAAAGGCCAACCTAAGGAGGGTATAAACTATTAAGTCTAGTGAATATTTTTTGTTGGTGAAAAATTCACAATTTGTGAAATAGTTTGGTAAGAAATCCTTTTATTTGTTTTACAGGATATTTTATTTTTAATTTTACCCTTTAATTTATTTGTTGACTTTTTTGACTATTTATTTAATTTTTTGACTATCTATTTAAATTTATATCTATTTGTTTTAAATTTTTGACTATCTGTTCAATTTTTTCCTCTTACCTGTTCAAATTTTAATATATGTTAATTTTTTTTTCTATTTGTTGAAATTATTTTAATATATATGTTTTAATTTTTTTGTTTGTGCAAATAAGAGAGATGAGAGTGAAAATTATTTGTTCAACCAAACTATCTATTCAAATACAAAACTATCTGTTCAACCAAATTTTGTTTCTGTTAAAATACAAAGCTATCTATTGAAATTCAAAAAGTGATCTATTGAAATACCAAGCCAATTTTTTCTATCTGTCTATTTCTTATCTGTGCATATTACATATATTCAGACAAACATACATATCTATATCTTTCTTTTATCTGTGCAAATAACATACATACATTTATATATCCATATCTATATGCATATCACTGAGAGAGCAAGATTGGACCCCCCCCCAAAAAAAAAAAATCAACACAAAAGAGATTACTAGCGAAATCCATAAAAGATCCAAGAGGAAATTAATTCACAGAGTTGTATTTAATTATGTAAGAAAAATTCCAGAGAATGTCCAATTAAGGAAGAAGAGAGTTCAATAACCTGCAAATCAATAAACCAATAATCTTTTAGACACATCACTAAGTTTAAAAAGTGGGCTCAATTGAAAATCATTGCGACTTTCTTAAGATCGATCAAATACTTTGTTTTGGGCATTTGCTTGCTCAGAAAAAGTAGGAAAATAAAAAAAAAATAAAAAAACCAGGAGTCAATAACTTGTTTGAAACTGAAACCAAATCAAATCACACAAAAAGATTAAAAAAATTCTAATGATTTTCTCATCAGTTTCCTTGCAACCAAACAACCTGCACAAAAAGAGAGATGACAACGATGATCAAGATAATGATGATGAATTTGAAGCTTAAGTAAAAGTAGCAGCTCTGAATTCATCTTTGTCGCCTAAAAACACATTGTTGTTGGCTAGATGTAGATCTGCACTGTACAGATCTTCATCGATATATATGGAGATCTGCACTGATTTTGGGGCTAGCCATTGGAGGCAACATCGAAAACAGAGAAAGGTTGTGAAGAAAATAGAGCACTACAACGTCGACATGAGTTCAATACTATCCATCGCCGCCCAAAACTCCACTGCCATAACCTATGTCTCCTTTGCCATAGAAGAGAGAGATTGTTTTTAGGGATTTCATCGTACAGATCTTCGTCAATGTAGATGTAGAAGTAGATTTGCACTGATTTTGAGGGAAGCGATAGCGTACATATTTCAAATCGGAGATAAAAGGAGAGAGACAACTAAGTCACAGATCTAAGTGATGGTAGATCTGAGCAATGAACGATGTGACTTCTGATAATGATGATGATGAGACGACGACAAAAAAGATGAGAGAGACCAATGGGCGGTGAAGGAGAATATGAGAGACTAACAAGCGATGGCGAGGTAGCGGCGGAAAAGATGAGAGATCGACGGGAAGAGAGAGAGAGAGAGGGGAGTTTGGTTTGATTTGTGAAATATACTAACCGTATATAGGGGTGTAAATTTGGCCTGGCACGGCCCACAGGCCTCGTGGGTTCTTGCTAAAATTTGGGCTGGGCCGACTCGGCCCACGAGCTAGAAAATTAGGTCCAGGCCCAGGGGGTGTTCAAGCCTTAGGCGGGCTAGGCCTCGAGCCAGGCTTGAACATTTTTTTTTCTATTTTTTTTACCAAAATTTTATTTTTTTTCCAAAATGACACTGGGTCTCCAACAGGCTGAGCCTCGAGCCGGGTTTTGAGTGAGCCTTGAGTAAGCTGATGGACCTGCCCATGGGGCCAGGCAAGGTTTCAAAATGATGGCCTAGGGTCCCGGGCTGGGCTTGAGCTTGGGCCAGGCCCACCTCGAGTTGCGGGCCATTTTTATACTCATAACCGAATATACAATATTTATATACACATGGTTATTTTGGTCATTTTATCTAAACTTGTCTTTATGGCCAAAGTATTTAACCGTTTAGACCTAGGCGTGGACATCGGCTCGTTAGCCCACCTAGTCTAGCACAATCCTATTTTTTTAGGGCTTGGGAACATAATTTTAGCCCATAGGACTGGGTTGAGTTGATATTTTCAGCCCGATTAACAAATGGGTTGGTTTGGAAATTGTACTTTTGGCACAGTCCCGACTTGCTACATATTTAATTTAATAAATAAATAAATTTATATAATATATTAAAAATATATATACTCTTTTAATTGTATGATTTTTTAATTTGTTTTTTATTTTATGTTAATAATTTATTTGTTGATAATGTAGTAAACTTATTGGAAACTATGGTCGATGGT